CTCTCTTGATTTTGATTGTTGGCTGGTGTTGGCTAATTTTGTTATCGAACGCAACTAATTCCTTTGACCATTAACAGGCTAACCTAATATTCGCGGCTTGCGTTTTGGTACGCACGCCGTCGAATTTGTTTTTTGCGTCACCCGAAATTGGCTTGCGTGCGTTTGCATTTGATTTCATTGAGCGAAACGTCAAATCAAAATGTCACGCAGAACAAAAATTGGAAATTGAGTTAGCTTCAAACGCACGCCGTTCAATTTCATTTGGTCCCATACAAGTTGTATGTGCATGAGAAATTTTTGACAGTAAATTGGCGGCGTGCGTGAATATTAGGTTAGCCTGTAAGTTCGGATTTTAGATAGGGGGCAACTTTAAAAAAAAATTGCTCAGTAAAGCTTTCCCAAACACTTTTCGTTTGGTACCAATCTTGTAATATTTCATTTAATTTCAATATTTTTAAGTTTTCACTCTTTAGATAGGTGAAAATGGGAATTTCGGAAAAAATTTTATTAAATTAAAATAGTATTTATCCTTCAATAAATAAAAACAGAATGAATGGAAAATAAATTCAAAATGACGTTTTCTTTTCAACCGACAAACCTCATTGCCCGCTTCGCTCAAGCAGCAAAAAGAGGGCAATGAAAAGTCAAAATTTTTTATAGAAAAGAAAACATCTTTGAATATGGGCATATGTATGTATATTCACATATGTTCATGCGTAAGAGTCAACATCAGACTGAAAAAAAACAAAATTTACCTCTTTTTGGAAAATTCAACAAATTTTCATCAAAATTTCAACTTTTTAATCTGAATTCTTTTTCGGTTTTGCATTTATAGCCCATACCATTTTTGTCAGATGAAGTGCAAGTTTCAAACCAAGGTACATAAATACAGGTAGAAGCCAAAATGACACTGCTCTCATGAGAACCAAACCTTTAAACTTCAACTTAGTTTTCTTTTATTTCCTATATTTCGTTACGCTTTAAATGTCATGTCGTTTTTTTTTGGGAATGTTCGTTAAAAACAAATTTTAATTAATATTTGAATTTTTGTAGTGTTGTGCGGTTTATACTTAGTGTATGTGTTACAAATGCAACACCTGAAGCGTGGTTTTTATGTGGTATTGAATATAAATCAGATACCACTAATTTGTTTAACGTGCCTCAATGTCCTTTGCGTAAGGAGCGTTGCGAAAGCAGCTGTGGGGCAGAGCGGCAGCGAAAAGCCTTGCTGTGCGTTAAACATTTTAAAGCAGCAGATTTTATAAATGCACCGGGAGGTACAGGATACGCACGTTTGATGCCAAGTGCTGTTACTATGACTCTTATGCCGGAAAGTTCCTCCAACAATACTGCAACTCATAAATCAAAGACAGAAAACAACAAACAAATTAACAAGTTTTAACTATAGAAAATAAATAAATAAAATTAAACTTCAAATTTACTTAAAAACGTCTACCAGTGAAATGTAATTTTTTATTTTTCCTTACACACACTCATTTTTATTTTTACTCTCCCGAAAACTTTGACTTTTGTAGGTTTGACGTCAAATTGGCTTCTACCTGTTTTTATTGTACCATGGTTTCAAACGGCTAAAAAATTCCGTTAATTTTTGAGTTTTCTTTTTGGTGACGGCTTTTTGCACTTTTTTCCATATAAGCATGAACTTCTTATAAAAAACGCGGGAGATCGTTAGCAACAAAATTTCACAAAATCAACGCCAGTTTTTGTAAATTGCACTTGTTATATAAAAAAAAAACGCCAAAGTAGTCTCCAAAACAAGTCTCGAAAATCAACGCGATTAGACTAAAATTGTATGGGCTATAAAAATAAAGATTCAGATTAAAAGTTGAGATTTTGACGAAAATTTGTTGAATTTTTCTAAATTTTGTATAAAGTGTGAAACTGTGATTGATATGGTTTTGGTTTTTAAAGAAAAATAGCAACAAAAAACATTTATTTTGAAAAATATTTCAAATATTTAAAAAAACCAACACGTGGTCATTTTGCTTTAGCCACTGTATATATAGATTTTTTCGTTTAAAAATAAAACTGAATTTAGTTTTGGTTTAAAATCTTTATGAACGCCTTTGCATAGCTTTTCGAATCGCTTAAAATGTGTTTTAAATATATGTACTATACATTTGTTGTAACATTTAGATATACGTTATGACGAGAACATAAGTATGAACATAGGTAAATACTATAATTTTTTTTTGAAATTTAGATATATAATTATTTATTTATTTATTTATTTATAACAATTTATATAACAAAAGAATTTTATTATATAAATACATAAACGCAGCACTGGCAACGAGGCCTTCAGCCGAGATATATAATTAAGGGCCAATTTCACAGTGCGTAGTTAACTCCGAATCGACAGTTAACTAGAGATTTTCAGTACAAAAATCTGTAGTTAACTCCCGATTCCGAGTTAACTACGCATTGTGAAATTGGCCCTAAATAACGCGAATGTAGATAAATGAGCATTGCCAATAAATGCATTATTTAATAATCCACAGCCAACCAATTAACTTACCGATAGCGTACTTGTTACCTCAACGTATCACTACGGCAACCGTAGCAACCAATTTGTTAAATTTCATTTGGAACTTTAGAATTTTTTCACAGTCATTCGTTTTTTTGGAAATCAAAGAAAAGGAATTTACGTTTATATTAACGGGCCATAACGATAACGCATCTTCTTCCAAAACTAAGCCTACCAAATATATTGTACTATGATAAATTGTGTATCGCGGGGCAATGAACCTTCGATCGAATTGGCGAAAATCGGGAACAAGAAACCTATAGTGCTCTCGTCGCAACGCTACAATAGGCTACTAAACAATTCCAATCAGGTGGATGAACTGCGAGCTCAGAAAGAAATTGAAGAGGAACAAAAGTATAAGGAATACTTGAAGCAGGGCTCCGACCAGTTGGTAGCTCATTTCAAGGGCAATATACAGCGAACTCAAGATGAGAAGTTGGCCGAGATCAAAGCGAATATGGAGCAGAAAATAACAAAAAGTGAGACCTCATCGACAATAATTTCGATATGATTTTCAAAAATGTGTAGTTATATTTTGAAATCTTTTACGAAAAAAGTATTGATATTTTTTATAAAGCGAGTTTCTAACCCATTTCCTTTGAATTTTGTTCTTACATTTTTAGTGCAGGAGGACTTCCATCAGACAAAAGAAAATGAGGAACGAAAAAGGAGCGAAAAGCTGGCTAAAGCGCAAAACCTAGTCGAGCAACTGAAGCCTGGTCCCAAGCAATTGCACTCAGCAGCTTTACAAAGCGAGGTCCTTCGAGCGCGAAACGTTCAACGGAACATAAATAAGGAGTTCGAAAGAGCTGTTAAAAAGCAAGAATGTATGGATAAGTTAGCTTGCGAGCAACAAGCGTTAGGATTTATGCAAGAAGACCAGGCGCGGCAAATGGAACGCCAACAGAACATGAACACATACAAAAAGGAAATGCTTCACACAATCAAAGAGACTGGCAAGCAGCGCATGGAATATAAAAAGCAGCTCATCAAGGAGCAACAGGACGCGCGGGAGGCAATGGATCAGGAAATCAAGGCGCAAATCGAAAAGGAGAAGGCAATTATGGAGAAAAAACGAGCGGCACTACGCAAAAACGCACTGGAAGCTATGAAAATGGTAGAGCAACGTAGATTAAGTAAGTTTAGAATAAGCTGTATTCATTTATGACTCGTTTTTATCACGTTATTTGTTCTTTAATCCAATTTTAGGGGAACGTATGACCGAAGAGATCGAAGATCGTTTGTGTTGCGTTTACAATCTGGCTAAAAAGGACTGGGATGTCGTAAAAAAAAGAGGAAGACCAAAAGAAAACTACGCACGAAGAGGAGAAGAAGCAAGAGATGCAAGCCAGATTCTTGCGTTGCATTCAGACTAAGACAGAAGCAACAGACGAAGAGCGTGTACGTCGTGATATTAGTCGCATGCAACTGAAGTTCACGGCTGAAGAGAAGGAAAAGATACGCAAGGACAAGGCGGCCAAACAAGCACGTATTGAAGCTTATATGCACGAGCTTCAACAGCAAAAGGAGGCGAAAAGGCGCGCCGAGGAAGAGAGGCGTTACGATGTGGCAACACGCTTTAAAAACTGCGAAGTAAATCGGCTTTTTAAAGAAGCGCAGAAGAAAAAGCGTCTAAATGAAATACACGATACACGAGCCACATTAAAGGAACAAATTGAGCTTAAGAAACGTATTGAAAATGAGGACAGACAACAAATGCGCACCTGCGAAGATAACAAAGACGAGCGGGAGGATAAATTCTTTTTCGAATATGCGCGCAATCTGATGGAGGATGCACACAAGAAAGATCGGCCACTCTATCCCTTCGTTAAAGTGGTTCAAGAGTATAAGCGCGATCGTTTCATCGACTGTGAACGCAAAACGCCAAAGCACCTGATGACTCATATTAACATTGGCACTGGCCAAGGAGATGTTAAGGGTGACGGTGTATATTCCTCTATTACTTCTTTGCAAAAACCTAAATCGGTGCATTCGAAGGCAATCAGCCCAACACAGGCGCTAGATGTGAGCAAATCTGTCTCAACCGGCGAAGAAAAGTTTTCGTCAAAGACTGAGAAAAACAACAAGGAAAGTATATTGGAAAACTGTCTTAAGATATCTGAATTGATTGCAGCCGATGCGAAGAAGGCCGCCAACACCAAAGAAAACTTTGACAGTCGGTTCACAGATTGCTTGATGCCATGTACGCATATAGCCGAACTCAAAAAGGAAGACGACTGTGAAAAGTTGCTTAAACCCGGCAAAGTGCGCTATACAATGTTTGAATTGAAGAAAATGAACCATTTCCCTTTGCCCAAGGGGCAATAGACGCATAGAAAGCTGTAATATAATTGGTGTTCTACGATCTGCGCCGGCCTTAATTTTCTGAAACTTCTTTCAGTACAATTCAATTATATTCTGTTGTTCGCATGTATTTTCTATTTCCAATAAATTATTTCTTGTAAATAATACTTTATTAGTAAATCGAGTCTTTATTTGGCAAGAAGCTTGGCTCCTCGAATGTATGACAAATTGCATTTGATATGTATGTATGTGATGGTTTAAATGAGTATTTTTGCTTTGCAAATACGTGAGTACGTTGACTTCATGAATTATGTACGAAAAGTTGGTGTCCTACAATAAGAAAAAATTATGCTGATAAAAGAAAAATGTTGATTATAAATGTGCAATTACTGCCTTTACCTTTTCATACTCAAAGTGAGCATTTTAGTTTTAATTCGTTTGCGGTCGCGACTAATAATTTCCATCCGTTCCTTGACCGTTGTTTGAAATAGTATTAAGTGTAGTGTATGCATTGTTGAAGTCAACTGAAGAAAAAAACAAGAATAGTTTTTTTAAACAGTAAGGCCTTAGTTTTTAATTTATTCTAAAATAAACAAGTAATTGTTAAGCAAAAAACAAAACAGACTTCAATTCGCATATAAAAATTTAAGATTGTCGTTAATTTCTTCATGATCCAATGATCGGATATAAACCAAATTAGTATGGAACCACCTGTGAGGTAAACCTTTAATTTATTCTAAAATAAGCAATTTTGAATCAAAAAACAAAACAACTTCAATTCGTTAGTTTCTTCATGACTCAATCTAAACCACAAAAGTATGGGACCACCTCTGAGATACCACCTTTCCTTTAAAAAAATAATTATAGAAATCGGTGAACGTGGTCCAAAGTTATGCGGTAACATACTTACATAAAAAACATTTATTCCGACGAATTGATAACCTTCTTTTTTCAATACGGTTAAAAATAATTTCTTTGTCAGAACACAAAGTATAAACTAGGGGTGGGGATATAAATGAAGTTATTTATATGGCTACCTTTCTAAGGGCCAGCTTTTCAGTGCCAGTTTAAACTTAGATTAAGTAAACTGAGTTTAAATTGAACAGCTGGCTGAAATTTGATTGGCTGATCTTAGTTTAAACCAGCCAGATCGGGCGTTTAAACTTAGTTTAAACCACGGCCGTGCACTGAAAAACTGGCCCTAAATGCATCAATGCAAAGCATCAACCTCTTTTATTTTTAAACTATAATTGGTGGAAATGCCCAATTTGTGCACTAAGTTCCAATTTGGCATTTGAACGTGGTTGCCCATATTCTGCATTGATGGATTTAGGAAGTCAGCCTATGTTATACACTCCTCGTCATTTACCGCACCATTTTGATCCTCAGTATATACAGTTTTCCTTTTGTTTGTTTAATATTCTTAAATTTTTTATAAAAATGTAGCATATTCTACGTGTGAATTCGATTATAAAATTGTATACAAATTAAAAAAAGCGCTATCCTAATGCCTTCTGTGAATAAATTAATATTTTTTAGAAAAATATCGGATATGCAGTTTTGAAGCCCATTCAGTTTTAGCCAGATACAGAAAATAATCGTTATCATGAAGGATTTTTATTTAAAGATCATTGCATAATCGTATTTTTCGATTTATATAATTACGAGAATTTTTAATCGTTATTTTATAATCTTTATTTTTTCGATCAAAAATAATCGTATTTTTTGATTTTTATTTTTTCAATCATTTTTAATCGTTATTTTATGATTTTTATTTTTTCGATCAAAAATAGTCGTTTTCTTTGATTTTAATTTTTTCGATCATTTTTAATCCTTATTTTATGGTTTATATTTTTTCGATCATACTTTCAGGGTTAATCTTGTCTGATCCTAAAAAACCAAAAAAACTTGTAGTGTTGCGCATTAAAGCAACAAACGTAGACCTAAGACAACCTCAAGAACCACAAAAAAAAACTTCCGTAGGAAAATTAAAACAAAAATTCGTTTATTCATTGCAGGTGATTGCATTATTGATACCAGTGATGGGTAAAATTTTATTTACTAAAAATTAAGTGCTAAGTATTTAGGTATTTATGTTGTAGTAAATATATACCAAGGTATCTAATATTTACTTAAGTATTTTGGATGTTACTAAATACCGAATAGGCTAGTAAATATTTACTTATTTTCACAGCGCTAAATACTTACACCCAAATTCATAAAAAATAAAGAAGACTTTAACTGCTTTATAAATCGATAATTTGTATGAAAATTTCACTTTATAGAGTTCTATAAACCTATATTATTTTTTATGAATAAGACCATTAGTCTAAAAGTATTTAGTTAGTTTCACCTAATGCAACACCGCGTACAAAAGTACATTGAGACTTTGGCTTCACTAACTAGCGTGTACAAAAATATTTCGGTATTTTCGGGGCGAATTCGGCATTTTTGAGACAATTTCAGTATTTTCGATATTTTAAGGACTATTTCGGGATTTTCGAGACTACTTCGGGGTTTCTAGATATTTTTAGCATTCTAGGGACTATTTAGGTTTCTTCGAGACCCAATATATCGATAAAGGTGTATATCTATAAAAATATCGATCATTAATATCGATTAATATATCAATAACAATATTGATAAATATATCAATAAAAATATCGATAAATTTTTCGATAAAAATATCGATTATTATATCGACAAATATATCGATAACAATATCGATTATTATATCCATAACAAAATTAATAATCATATCGATAAATATAACGATTGTAAAATCATTAAATTTATCGATATAAAGACCGACAAAAATAACGAAAATTTCGAAATAGTCCCGAAAATTATGAAATAGTCCCGGGAATCCCGAAGTAGTCTCGAAAATCTCGAAATAGTCCAGATTCAATTTTTCCTAAATCATAAACAAATAATTAGTTTGTAAGTATTTAGCCACGTAATAAATACCTTAGTACTTTAATGAAAGTATTTTGCATCTCCAAAGTACCCGAGTACTTTCGACTAGAGTATTTAGCGCATTTACTTTAGCATCTAATTGCTCCTAAACTGCAAAGTATTTTTTACTTTAGTATTTACCAGAGAGCTGCATGGATACACTCAAAATACATTTTAAGTCACTCGCTTTCGTTTCACATCTGCACATACTCGCACTCATTCATTTTCAAACATAACGTGCGATAGCATTTTTCCTGTAAAAACGTCAACCAGTGATTGCTTGGCACTTTTCATGATTTTACCAGAAGAAAAAGTTCGGGTAAAATCTTGCAACTTCATTCTCTACACAACTCTCCAAAAGTCGCTCTCATTTACAGGATTTTGGAGTACGGGAACATTTTTCCTGCAACTTCCTGCAAGTTCGTGTAAAATCCTGTAAGTCCATGGAGTACTGGATCAGCTATTGTCAATTGAGTGAGTAATTCACACTATCAAGTGCTCGATTCAAATAACAAGTGCTTGATTGGAAAAACCAATATTTGTTAATTTTATTGGTTTTCTAACTGCATATTATAATGCAAAAATATCAACTGATTAAGGGCATCATCTTTTGACAAAAGGTGGTATCTTTCTGACGATGCGCTAGTTCAAGGAGTGGCTATTACTCTACGACTGAGTTTATGCAGCAGCGGCATTTCGCATTTGTGTACCTCCAACCAATTAATTACATCGAAGTCCGTATGAAAATATACCTCAATATTTTCATATCGCCGCAGCTCTGTAATAGCTTTATCAGTTCTGCTCACAAAGGTAGGTTGTTTAAGAAGACCTGAAAACAGCTCAAAGTTGTCTGAAGGTAACAAAGGTGTTTCCGCAATTTGTGGTTCCGTTGTACTGTCAGAATTCTCAGTTAACGTTCTCATAATTTGTAAACATTTCTCTTTCGTGTACCGTTGCTCAGATTCGGTAAAGTTCTTGAGCTCTTTTGCTGGCGGGTATAAAAAAAGCGCAATTTTGTGCAAATCTGTTAAGTTTTCAACAGCAACTGTTTTTAAATAATAAAGCAACTTATTTTTCAAGTCTCTTATAATGCCGATGTCTTCAGAGGTAACAGTGCATTTCTTTTGTAGACTAGTTATATAAATGTACGTCAGGAGGATAATTAAATAATTTAGTAAAACTAATATATTTAAAAAAATACTTCATCAATATCCATTTTTTTTCAAAATTGTCGTATTCTCTACTAATTGTTTGAAGTCAATCAGTGTCATTCGATTGCTCGACTTGCTTTTCATAACAGCGTTTTTCACTTGCCTGACTTGATTTGGAAAGAGCATGATAAAAACATTACAAGGTAAATTCATTCTCTCATTTCGTCGGCCATGATTTTTTTCTGACGTTTGCCAACATTTTAAAATCATAAAAATTGAAAATAAAAAAATTAAATTGTTCACAATTGTTGTTGTTTGAGATTGAAAATGAGAATGTGTGTGTGAGTTTGAGTTTTGATTTTAAAATTATATTGTTGGCAAACGTCAGACTGCCTCTCAATGGTTTTACCTTGTTATGTTTTTATCATGGGAAAGAGTATATCAATGCCATATTTGAAATCAAATGAGTACACTGCACTAAACATTGATTTCGAAACTAACTATGAATCTCACTGTTTGTACGGTGTTTCTCACTACCCGTATACAGTTCACAGCAATGAGTTCATACTATTTAGATGGAAGTGAGTAAACTGATGCTGTTGCCTGGTATTTACCAACTCCTGAATACCAAATTTTTGTTTATTTGAGTAATTAGCAACGCCTAAATAACTAAGTTTTGTTTATTAGAATATTTAGACATCTCCAAATATTAAGTATTTGAGTATTTAGTAGAGTCCGACCGATTAATTAATCGGCATCGGCATCGGCATTGGCTAGTATTATTAGATTATTAGCCGATTCTTTTTACTTTTTATGCAATTTTAACATATGTTCATCAAAATTTTAAACTGTTTAATCAGATTCTTTAGATTTTTTTTGAGAACGCAGTTTTTAACCGACTTCCAAAAAAGGAGAAGGTTATCAGTTTGAAATAGCTAGGTAATAATAATAATAATATCCCAACGGTTTTTACCCTCCATTCCCGCCCATCCGCATGACGTACGGAACCAGTATTTTAAATTTTTGCGCCGAGTCACGATAGGCAGGAGTTTGTTAAGTGTCGAGATCTAAAACTGTTCAGCTACAGAACTAAATTCATTAGCCGATTTTATGTCTTTATTTTAATGATTCATCTATTGAGAGAGGACAGTATCGATTTCTTAATGCTGAAAAGCGGATCTGATATATCAAACGTGCTGGAATGAGAGTTAAAATCCTGGCATAAGCAACGGAGTGGGTCGTGCAATTCAAAATTAGTTTTACAAGCTTTCAGAAATAGGGGGCAAACGTGTCTTGATACCCGGGAGGGAACATTAAGGCTAACTTCGCCAAGAAGAAGCGGACTTGAAATTGTTAGTAATTTAACTATAAAATTGTACCAAGCATTTGCCTGCGGCTGGAAAAGCAAGAACAGAACC